GGGTCAGAGGCAGCATTTAAAAGCAATAGCCCCACAATACCAAAGCTGTCTTACAGGCAGGCATTACAGTGCATTAGAGAAGGAGGAGGCAAGCCCTGAGCGTCTCCTTGCATTGGCCATGTTTTATGACATACCTGCCTAACCCAGACATTAATCTACTGAAGATGAATTGGCCTGGTCATGGTCCTCGGCTAACCGTCAACGGCATGTACATTACCTAAATTGAAATCTGCACTTTTTCATGCCACGTGTGGTTTGATGTGATGGTCCAAGGAATGTAGGGTGCATTAGAATTGGTTTTTATGTGGAGAGAATCTCCCCTCCTATTTACCTTTCAGCAGGGCAGCTGCATGCTTTCCTCCTCACTTGACAATGAAGGCATTATTCTCTTCTGCTTCACCCAGGAGTAGCTACCCTGGCCTGCTGAAGATTGCATGGCACTGGTCAGGTATGTAAGCAACTCAGCGCCTTTCCTGTTCCCAGAAGTGCTAAAGACATAATGAAAAAGGAATGCAGAAGTTTGCACCTGTTGTAATTGTCTAATAAAGCCCCATACAATGAATTCTTTGTCATCTTCCAAGAAGAGGTCAGTTGTGTCAGTGATTACATGAGTACTTTATGTGAATAGAAAGATCTGTATAATTGGTGTGATACTGCGAGTAAAATCTCATTGAAGTTGCACAAGATGTCTATAATTTTCTAATCCCTCATGTCCTCATTCCCCAGATGTGACACTCTTTATTTACCCTGCACTTAGGTTTCTTTCCTGCATGGGCAGGGGAATGAGACTTGTACTGGCCCCTCTGTAATTAGTGGAAAAGGTGGGGAGACACTAGGAAACAGCGAATCCTTGTGAAACTGCCTTCCCTGAATTCTCTATGTTCTTCTGCAGGTTGAAATTGAAAGAGTAAATGGACATGATAGAGGTCAAGAGCATTGGCTCTATAGACGGACAACCTGGGTTCAAATCCTCCTCCTCCATCTAATAGAGAGGTGTGACCTTTGAACTTAATTTCCTCACCAGCAAATTGGTGATAATATAAGGATTAATTGAGATTCTGTAATCAATCATTCATTCATTCAACAAGTGCTTATGAAACACTTCCAAGTATGGAGCACTATGTGTGCCTCTGGCTATTGGAAACACACTGCTCTTTCTTGCTTTTGTGGAGCCTATAGTGGTTAATCCAGAAAAGCATTTAGCATACGGTGCTTGACACATAGTAAACACACCGTAAATTTGCTATTATCATAATTACTGTAATAAAAGTACGCAGAGTCACATTTCCACACTTCCTATTGAAGATATTCCATGCTGTCATCTAGAAGAGCAACAGAAGGGTAATTTTAAACAATGGTCTGACACTCTCCAGAAAAGCATTTAAAACTTTGACTACTCACTTTCTCAATGCAGATACTTCTGTAAAAACATTAAATCTCTGTTTTGGCAATCAAAGTTGCTAGTGCACTCTGGGTGTTTTCACTTCAAGGTTATTGAGAGCCAACTATATGCCAAGCACTCTTGCATTGAGGGGAATCTGGAAAGACAGCTTTTTGACTCTTTCCCATTAGTAAAATCATTTTCATTGTCCATAATGTTCACAGAACAACTTCAAATAAATTATCTTTCTCCTGGGTATAAATGCTTCCAATGTTCTGATCCATAAGGAGCCTATTCAATATTAGTGATCAAAAGTGCCAATGCCGACATTCAGGCAACTGGAATTTTAGTACCATTCACTCTGCTACCACAAAACTGAGTTCATTTGTTTACTGAAGTCACTTAAAGTAAGAATGACATTGCCTGGCAGGTTCCAATGGAACTGGGCTGCAAATGGTTGTGACATAAATAAGGAGTCTGTGGCAAATGGGTGCCAAAGAACCGAAGGGAAATGAGTTGATGTAGCTGGGCAGGACGGCGGTACACCTGCTGGAGTTATACCTGGCAGGAGCCGCTGATATTTGTTTCCACTTTCCTAGGCAATAAATTTGCTTGGTGAGTAATGGTGCACACCTACCAATTTAGAAAATTAGAGAGATAGTTTCCGTTTCAGGGAATTGGCTCCAAAGGATGTGTGGAGAGCTGGAGGCTCTTTGAATAATCCAAACTCTCCACAAAGTAGTTCCTTAGAATTTGTCTCACTGGCTTTAGGAACGATTTGCAGAGAGTACAGAGCATTTCAATATAGATGCTCTATTGTACAAGCCTTGATGACTCTGTGAAAGAAGGGCTCTGCAGATGACACGGTAAAGTACCGTAAACCTCTAACCCGAAAATAACCTGACGAGGCCATGGGACTGTTTTGTTGAATGTGACTTATTTCCTAGATTTTGAGAATAATGGCCATTAAGCAAGGCCTCAGATTTGATAAAACTCATAGCTAAATCACAAAATGTTTTTAGAAGTACTGAGAAAAGCAAGCCCAAATTTAGACTGAATTTCAAGTTTAAATGCAGTTCTCTGTTGGTTTTTTCCTTTCCTAAAATTATGAAGGCCTTTGTTTTCCCTTGACCTGCTTTGTTGTTTCTGGAATTTTCCTAGGGATAATATATTTGAAAGAGTACTCAATCATATGAAGCATCTTTGCAGAAGTGAAACCATCAAATCGATGCAGGAAAACCTGTGCTTTCGCTTCTAATGGAGATTAGAATCGAGCCCTCTCTCCACCTCACTTGAGCTTTTGTTCCCAGTTGCTCAGTGAGTATCTGCAAGCACTAACAAAGAAGAACAAAAATTTCTCCCACCATCGTTTGCCTAGATAGCTGGTTTGCTCACATAATCCGTCGGTACAGAAGACAGAGAGGAGATAATTTCCTATTAAATCAGGGTACAGAGGCAGCACCATATTTTTCTTATTACTCAGACTTCAGTGTATCAGTCAGAATAGACCAAAGTATGCTATGATAACAAAAATCCAAAAATCCCATTGGCTTAAAATATTCAGTTTATTTCTAGTTTTCCAGCTTGTCTTAGTAGGGGCCCTGCACAACTAAGTCACTGGCAGATACACTGACATTTAACACGTCCTTCCCACCCCTCCAGGACAGGGGAGAAATGAGGACATGGAAATGTGCTTTTCCACACAGTGGCTTCTCGGGGCTTCCACATAGTGGGGACACTTATCATGTCTGCTCCTATTTCACCACTCAAAGAAGTCCTTATCCAAGTCTAATTTCAAGGGGACAGGGAAGTGCAATTCTCCCATGCGCCCAGAGTTACTACACCCAGGAAAATCAGACTCTACAGTAGGATTCCTAAGAGTCTTGCTCATCACATTAGGCCAGTGGCCCTCAACTGGGGGCAAATTTACCCGCTAGAAAACACTTGACAATGTCTGGAGACATTTTTGGTTGTCACATTGTGGGGAGGGTGATACTGGCATCTAGTGATTAGAGGCCAGGAAGCTGGTAAACATCCTACAACACACAAGACAGACCCCACAACAAAGATTGATCATGGTCCAAAATGTCGATAGTGCTGAGGCTGAGAAACCTTGCCTTAGATTACTTGGCTTCTCAAACCTAGTGTACTAAGAAAGTCCATGCCCAAATGGAAATCAAGACATCTTAAAAGCTGTAGTAATTGAAACTGTGGAATTGGTAAAGGAACAGACAGATCAAGGGAACAGAAAAGGGAGCCTGAAAACATATTCACCAAACGTGAATGTGGTAAGTGACAGAGGTGATAATCTCAGACAATAGGGAATGATATTAGGGTAATGTGGAAAAAATAAATAATGCTGTGTCTTTTCTTTATATCATATGCAAAGATAAATTCAGATGGATTAAAAATGTAAACATAAAAACAAGACTGTCAATTTACTAGAAGAAAATGAGCATGTTTTTATGACCAAAGGTGTAGAGAAGGTCTTCTTAAACAAATAACAAAAGAAACCTAAAGAAAAATATGCATAATTATGATAATGTCAAAATTATATGGCAAGCAAGAGACTGGGAAAAACACTTGCGAATATTTATACAACAGATATCTAAAATATACAAAGAAAAATCCTCTAATATATATAAAGAAATTCATCAAATATAAAAGCAAAGGAGGGAAAACACAAAATGAGTCTTGAGCATCTTGTAGTGTCTCCAAATAAGGACATGCTCAAAAGACAAATGATGATCACATGTCAAAGGGACAGAGGAACCAACCTAAAAGAGCCCCAGCGGCAAAGCGGGAACAATCTGACCAATAAAATAAATAACATAGTACTAGATCATAAAGTAAATATACAGGAGTCCATACTGATGTGGATAAATGATTGAACAAACAAATCAATAGGAGAAAAGAGACAAGCCTTCCTTGAAGACAGATTCCACTTTATGTAGATGGTACCTCCTCCCACCACCAGGAGGGGGCGCTTAACCACTCCATCCGCCCCGCCCCGGAATGTGGGCTAGACTTAGTGACTGCTTCAAAAGAACAGAATATGGAAAGGGGGGAATGATGTAGCTTTACAGTGGAGAAATCTGGCAAATACTATCTTGGTCATACACGTATGGTATCAACGAAAAAGGTCTGCAAGGCTCCATGTTAAAGTCAAACTGGTGCTTACTTCGATTAGCAGACAAGGTGGAAAATATGATATGTGGATATCTGAAGAGAAGTGGGGGAACGGTACTTTGAAAATATATATATACCTTATATAATTAAAAAGCACTTTAAAATAAATCTTGAGTGCTTGTTAAAGATGGGCAATTCTTTGACCCTGAGCCTCAGAAATTTCGTAGGTCTAGGGTGGGGCCCAGAAATAAGATCATTTTTTTTTTTCTTGATGAGGAAGATTGTTGGCCTTGAGCTAACATCTGTTGCTAATCTTCCTCTTTTTTGCTTGACGAAGATTGTCATGAGCTAACATCTGTGCCAATCTTCCTCTATTTTGTATGTGGATGCTGCCATAGTGTGACTTGATGAGTGGTGTGTAGGTCCAAGCCCGGGGTCCAGATCCACGAAGCCTGGGCCACTGAAGCAGAGCATGCGAATTTAACCACTATGCCACCAGGCCGGCCCCAAGAATTTTTAACATATGCTGCAGATGATTCTAATGCAGTGGGCACATTAGACACTGCATTCAAGAAACCACAAGACAAGTTTTCAAGTTGTGTTCCATATATCACTCACATTTCTGAACTGGATAGGATTAATTTCACACATTCTACAACCTGTGTTAGCATTTGAAAGGGCTCAAATTCTGATCCAAATGAGACATAAGACAAAAGACTAAGGTAAGCAGGAGATAATATCATCTTTATTACATATAAAGCTGAGATTGGAGGACGTGGCTTATATCTGTGGACAAGTGATCTTCATAATGTTAAATTAGAGAATTAAGCAGACTCATATACCCAGTCACACTGGGCAGGTCTTTTACCTGGTGGAAAAGAGCCTGTGCTGTCTTCAGGCAGCTTCAGCTCCATGAGTAAGAGAAAAGAGCCACTCAATATATTCTTCTTGAACATATCAAAGAGAATTCATTCCTTCTCCCATAAGGAGCAGCGGGTGAGGGGCTGTAGAAAGGCCAAGAGTGTTATCCTAGTGGAGCTTATTCCACATGGAAAGAAACATCTTGCTTAGGGAAGGAGTAACCTCTTAACAATATAGGATGATATGATAAAAAACTATGGTGTTATTCAAAGAAGCTGCACCCTTAGAGCCAATTTTATCATTCAAAGGCAATAATTTTTCAAATGGATGCTTTAATTTTTAATTCCATTTTCCTCCATATGTTATTAAAATTGAGTTCACACTTTTTATCTGTGGTGGATTAAAGAAATAACGGTCCTCAATTTTTCACTTGTTCTTGTATCCACCCCCTCACGTGGTCACCACCCACTCTTACTTTGGGCTTACCTACAAATTTTTTGGCCAATGGAATTTGAAAATGAGACCAAGTCTATTTTTATACCGAGTCTTGGAATGCTTGCCAGTGCCACCATAGGAATAGGCCTCGGCTAGACTGTTGGATGATCATAATCAGATAGCCAAGATACTCCCGTTGCTCCAGCTGACACATTGCAACAGAACCACCAGACATGTGAGTGAGGTCATCTGACACCAGCCAGCCACAGATGACCTGCCAAATAACTGCAGACGCATGAGCAAACACAGATGAGATCAGGAGTCTGGCCTGAACCAGAAAAAGACCCACCCAGCAGTATTGTCAACTAATAAAATGGCTAAGCCACTAAGTTTTGGGGTGGCTCTGCAGCAAATGCTATATGACACTCTATGTAGCATGAAGTATATAACTACATGATATGCTATAATTTTCCTTTTATATTTTGTGTGGAACTTCTGAAATTCCCTAATGCTGAAAATTTAAATACTGTTTCATGAACCTTAAGAGAGAAAAGTAGATAAAATTTAAAACTCAATCCTTTTAAATCAGTAGGGTTTGTTTTTGGTATTGACTTCCCAACACTCATACCCAAACTATCTGAAACATTCTCTGGTTGCAAACAAACTTGACATGAGACCTCAGTGTGACTAGGTTAATGGTCGTGCAGTCAGTTTGTATAGTAACTACATTTAAATATTAGCATCTTCATTACTTTAGGCATTTTTGTTTTCAGGACCATGCCCTTGGACAATACTGAGAAATACACTGAGTCCCAGTATGCTGCTAAGAAGAAACTGAGGATGTCATTCTTCCCTGAGCGATGGTTAAAGGGGTTTATTAGCAGCTTTGATAGTTGCAAACATGTTTTGATCAAGTGCTGGTTTGGACTGTGTATCAGTGGGAACTGTTTAAATGTTCAAATACAACAAATTTAATTGCTCACATGAGTTTGCCTTTGAAATAAGTAAACGTGATTCGTCTCCTCTTGGATTTAGTACAACTTTGCCTGTAAATAATAGGATTTATTTAATGTCCCCATGAAAGGGGCCATCAAAATGGAACAGTCATCTGCAACAGATCTGTAGGGAGTGAGTTCAGATATCGTCAGGAAGAATTACCTACTGTCTACCAATTCATAGGCAGTTGGAGACCCAAACCGCGTCCTTCTCCCCTCTTACCCCAAGTTCGGTGACTTCCCAAACATGGTGCTGGGGCACCAAGAATTCACCACCATTGTCCTCCTCTTCTTGCTGCTTCTCTCCAGTCTATCCATGCTACGTTGGAGATCGCTGGATGAATGCCATAAAGCTTGACTAATGCATACCCTTGGTTGCAATCAAAGTTATTTTAAGAAGATTTGCTATGTGGAAAAACATCCAGAGGGATAAGCTTGAAGCATTTGAAATCTCTCACATAGCTTTAAGTTGTAACCCACCTCATAAAAAAATCTCTAAAGCTAAAGGGAAATACTTTTGCCAAAATCGGTCTTATGAAATAACGCATTTTGGTACATGCTGAGGAATCACCAATAAGACCTGCAACAACAAACCCCTTCAACAGCTGCTCCTATTTAAAGCCATTAGTTTTTGTGCTGGCGTGAGTGTAATTCACTCTAAAGTTCTTCTTATAGCTGAAAATTAAGGGCAGTGGCATCTATTTTGTTTACTATGTGACAGCGCGATTGTCATTAAAGGAATATGTTCGTTTCTTTTACATTTACATTCCTATGAGCAAAGCAAACTCAAACCAGAAGATGCTTATTATGCACAAATGTCAGCATACATGCTCACACCAGGAAATGAAACCAGGATCTTTTGCAACCATTACAAAATGCTCATTACGACTATGGTACCCTCTTATGTGAAATACTGGCTTGAGGAGTGATAGAGGTTTGACCTGTGTTCTTTGTGGAAGGAGCGGTTCTGAATATTGGAGATTTGTCCTCCCTGCCTACCTTCTGAGAGAAGTAAGTCATCTAGTTTGTAACTAGAAAAATTAGGCATCCTTAGTTCTATTTATCGTTGTTTTAAATTGCTGCAAGACCTTTAAAATAAGAATGCAGCGGTTACCTCTGCGATAGCGGTGAGGAGTGGGCAGGAGGGCAGGCCACTGCAGAAGTGGACGAGAGCGCTTTCTGCAGTGAAGGAAAATTTTCTGTATCCTGATTGGAGTGGTTACATGGGTGTGTGCGTTTGTTAAAACTCATCGAACTGTACACTTCAAATCTGTACATTGTTCTTTAAAAAGAGAAAAAAAAATAAGGATGAGAGGCAAATCAAGTAGGGCCTTATATGCTGTGGTGAAGGATTTGGATTTTATTGTGAGATGCGAATTTATTGGAGGTTTTCTAGGGAGGGAGTGACGTGATCTCACTTACGTTTTAAGAAGCAGACTCCATCTGTGATGTGGTCCATTTATTGCAGCAGAGCGAAACAGAGACCATCCAGGGCGCTATTGAAATAGTCGAGGAATGCCCCAGTGTTGGCTTGGCAGAGGTGGTCACATAGAGCTGGTGAGAAGTGGTGGCACTGGCACATAGCACAAACCCTGGACCTTGTGCTATGCTGCCCAGCAAGCCCCTGGCCCTCACGGGAAGGATTTATACCCCAGCTGCTGGGAGGTTTGGTTGCCAGTTCTCAGCTGTCAATCATCTTTAGGAATTGTATCTTCTGATGAGAGCCACCTGCTCCTTTTCTGGGGCAGCCCAAACACAATGACAGGTTGATGCAGGAGCATAATGGCCTGTCTCTCTGGACTCTATGCAGGACAACCCTGAAGCGCCATCCCAGCCTTAGAGATCTGTGCAGGGTTGGCTCAGGCCTTGTGACTGGACCGCAGCTTCTCTCTCCTCAGATCCTACTTCTGTCACTTTGCCCTCACAGCCGTTGCCCCTAAAAACACTCCCTAATAAATGCTAATCTCTCAGAATCTGCTTCCTGAAGAACTCAGTCTGTGATGATTTCCAGTAGAAGAGGATTTCTTTTTTATCTGACTAAAATCAAAAGGTGTATTTCAGGAACCTCATCTTCTCATCTAGCGACGTGGTGGGTGGTGATGGTCTGGAAATATCAGACAAAGAGCAGTCTCTCCCAGCCACTGCTCCTTAACTGGCCCTGGGACATCACACAATCACCTCTGGTTCTCAGTTCCATCTTCTATAAAATAAAGAGGAGTTTAATCAAATGAGATATGCCAGAAGAAAAATTTTACAACTTTATGGTAAAATTCATTAGAAATATTAAAAGGAACTGAAAACCAGCTTATCGTTTTGTTAATAGTACTAAGGTCTTGTCTTCCCTTGATCCATCCCTTGTTATTCACCGTTTTTCAATGTTCACGTATGTCTCTAAAAGGGACACATGAGACATGAAAGAAGATCAGATGAAACCTAGCCAATTCTGCAAATTGTCTGTAAAGCTGATAAGACTTCATTGGAGAAGATTGTTATGATTAATTACTAAACTCAATTTCTTGGGGGTTTTTTTTTTGAGTATTCAGTCCCTGCCCAAGTGATTTTAAGTGCCTCTAAGTCACTGCCAGACTTGATTCAGTTCTTCTCAGACTTGATCTTCTCCCATGCTATTTGTTTACGACAAGCCTGTTTCAGCCTCACACGTTCGCTCTGCCTGAAACATTCTCAACTCTTAGCACAGTTAACTCCCACTCATCTTCTGGATCTCAGCTGAAAAGTTACATCTTCAAGGAATTTTTTCTACCCTCTAGCAATGCCTGGTGATTTCTACCTGCTTGGAACATTCCACGGGTTTATCCCATGCTGAGGAGACTTTTAGGAACTGCATGAACTCCACAGGTGAGCGAGAGTGACAGTGAACCCAACTCTATTTTTAAAAATGGGTAAATTATTTGAAAAAGCATTAGGTACTATTAGCAGCATACTACTTGTAATAACACTTCAAAACAAATTAGCATATACCAGTTGGTCAATGTATCAAAAAAAACTTAGTATCTTTGCTTTAGAGAACTCCATCCCTTAACTGTAAGGAAAGAGAATGAATCGTATGCATCCTGATTTCGTAAGTTTAACCAGACTTTTTCACCTTGTGGGGTAGGGGCAAAGGAAGCAATGATTACACGTTCAGCCTTTCTCAATGTGCTGGCAAAGAAAGAGATATTTACATGAATTTCTACAACATTTGCTGTGGTGGATTTAAGATATCTGGGTACAAATTCCTTGACACTCCTCTCCTTGAGAAGTGGGGTCTGTCCTCTCCACTTGAATCTGGGTGGGCTTTGTGACTGATCTGACCGGTAGAACAGAACAGAATTGACACTGCCAGTTTCCAGTCTCAGGCTTTAAGAAACAGGCAGTTTCTTCTTCTTTTTTAAAAAAATTTTGCATTGAGATAACGTTGGTTTATAATATTACACAACTTTCAGGTGTATATCATTATATTTCAATTTCTGTGTAGACTACATCGTGTTGACCACACAAAGACTAATTACCATCCGTCACCATACACATGTGCCCTTTTACCCCATTCGCCCTCCCCCATCCCCTTCCTCTCTCATAACCACCAATCTATTCTCTCTCTATATGTGTTTGTTTGTCATTGTTGTTGTTTATCTTCCACCTATGAGAAATCATATGGTATTTAGCCTTCTCCATCTGACTTATTTTGCTTAGCATAATAACCTCAAGGGTTATCCATGTTGTCACAAATGGCAAATTTCCTCTTTTTTATGGCTGAGTAGTATTCCACTGTGTGTGTGTGTGTGTGTGTGCACGTGTGTGCACATGTGTGTCTATGTGTATATATATACAAACTATACATATACACCAAACCTTCTTTATGCATTCATCTGTTGATGGGCAATTAGGTTGTTTCCAAGTCTTGGCTATTGTGAATAATGCTGCAATGATCATAGGGTGCACATACCTTTTTGCATTAGTGTTTTTGTGTTTTTTGGATAAGTATCCAGAAGTAGAATAACTGGATCATATGTTAGTTCTATTCTTAATTATTTTAGGAATCTCCATATTGTTTCCATAGTGGCTATACCAGTTTACATTCCTACTAGCAGTGTATACGGGTTCCTTTTTCCCCACATTCTCCCCAACACTTGTTATTTCTTGTCTTTTTAATAAAAGCCACTATGACAGGCATGAGGTGATATCTCATTGTAGTTCTGATTTGCATTTCTCTAATAATTGGTGATGCTGAACATATTTTCATATGCCGGTTAGCAATCTGTAGATCTTCTTTGGAAAAATGTATGTTCATATCCTCTGTTCATTTCCTAATTGGGTTGTTTGTATTTTTGTTGTTGAGATGTATGAGTTCTTTATATATTCTGGCTATTAACCCCTTATTGGATATGTGATTTACATATATTTTCTCCCCATTGTTAGTTGTCTTTTCATTTTGTTGATGGTTTCCTTTGCTGTGCAGAAGATTTTTAGTTTGATGTAGTCCCATTTGTTTATTTTTTCTTTTGTTTCACTTGCCTGGGGAGACATGATATTCAAAAAAATACTGCTAAGACCGATGTCAAAGAGCATACTACCTATGTTTTCTTCTAAGAGTTTTATGGTTTTAGGTCTTACATTCAAGCCTTTAATTCATTTTGAGTTAATTTTTGTGTATGATGTAAGATAGTGGTCTACTTTCATTTTTTTGGATGTGGCTTCCAGTTTTCCCAACACCCTTAATTGAAGAGACTCCTTTCTCCATTGGATGTTCTTGGCTTCTTTCCAAAACGGCTCTTTGTCTTTCTGTTTCTTGAAACACTCTCCAGGAGGCCTGAAATGCTGTGTGGGAAGTTCAAATACACTGAGCCTGCCATCCTGGAGAGGCTGTGTTTAGATGGTCCAGTTGACAGTCCTAGCTGAGCCCAGCCTTTCAGTCCTTTCTTCCAAGGACGCAGACATGAGAATGAAGCCATCTTGGACTCAGTAGATCAGCCCATTCTCCAGCTGAATACCACTAGTAACCACCATTGATACCACGTGGAACAAAGGAATCATGCAGCTGAGCCCAACCCAAATTCCTGACCCACACAACAGTGAGATACAATAAAGTGGTTGTTGGTTTAAGTCACTAAGGTTGGGGTAGTTTGTTACACAGCACTCGGTAACCACAACATCCTCACGGCATAGTTCTGTGTTTTGTTTTCTCTTTTCTCACAGGGCCAATGTATCTTGTTGCAATGCTCCCATACCACTAAAGAAAACAATCGTCTTTTCTTTGTTCCCAAAGTCCTCTTACATTTAAAGAACCAAAAATCAGTTTAATTGACAGTGGGACTATCCATCATTTGTTGTAAGGTATAAAATGTTAAAAAACAAACAACTTCTTTCTAAAGAAAGATGAGATTTGCAGTAAGAAGTACCTTGTTTTAGAGGAGCATTCACTTGGAATGTAACTGACTGCATCTCACCTTTTTTTTCTTGCTAATGTTGAACTAAATTTATTCTTCTTAAACACGCATGGTATTCATTGTATACAACAATGGTGATTTTCAGCAGCACCAATTGCAGTAGTTGACATGTAGCATGGGGTGAAATGCTTAGCTGGTCCCTCTGATTCATACACCCTTCCTCTCCCTCCATCCATCACTCTTTGCTCTCACATTTTGCTGTGATAATCAAGGGCTTTTCAAAGTGTGGCTCACAATCTACTTGGATCGAAATCACCTGTAAAACTTGCCAAAAATGCGCATTCCCTGATGCCATAAACCTAAGGAATTAGAATCCCAGGGAGGGGGCCTCAGTAATCTACGCTTAAAACAAGTTCCCAAGTGATCTTATGCTTGAATTGCTATTTTTAGGGACATTTTGCTGACTTTTGCTCTTAGCGCCTCCCCGTTACAGCATTTCAATGTGATCCTTTTAATATTACTTCACAGCTTCGATCTGCTGTGATTTCTAATCTGTTTCTTCTCCTCTCATTTCCTGGGTTCTTTTCTGTGTTGTCATTTTAGGTCTCCTTTGCTTCTTGTTGTTTGAATGACTCATCAAAGGGCTCTAAATATAACCGTTAAACCTATAGGTTTCTTTTTTGTTTATTTGTTTTTGTTGGAGGCTTGGAGTTTTTCTCTCTCAAAGACATTATTACTGCAGCCATTTAAAAAACATAAAGAGGATGAGCTTCCTCTTCTGAGCTCCAGGTAACTAATTATATAACACTTTCACTGTACTTAGATTACAACGTTATTCTCGATTCCCATTGTTTCAATTAGTGGGAAAAAGAACTGGCTGGCACAGCTTTGCCCTTCCTCTGAACATTTTGCTATTTGTGTTATCCATCTTTCAGAACACACCTGTGTCTTTTTCACACAATCTGGTAAATATTATAATATTTAACCATCACCAGGGCATTGATGCGTAACTGAACCCTGGACGGGCCAATCAAGACTCACAAGGAGTGGGTTTCAGGAAACCAAGATGATGTGTCCTCAGCCACCTGAAAAAATACGCAGAAACTCAGGTTACATCTGGAATTCATTCCGTGTTTTCTCTGTCCGTTCCTGATCAGTTTTCTCACCGCCGTCTCCAAGAAAATTAGGCGATCTGGGTGAGTTCATTCGCATGCCCCGGTTCAACTTCTCAGGGAGCATGTATTGATCACTGCCATAGTTCAAAGCAGGGCCTTGAGTGGTGAGGTGGGAGTGGGGGGTCTTTGAAAGCAGTAGGGAAAGAAGGGAGGAGCCCCCTTGGCAGCTGAGATTCTTGAACTCCCAGGTAATGCAGAGAATGCAGTGATTTATGAAGTGTACTATACTAAGCCACGGTAAAATCGTGTGGTACAGTTTAGGGCATACTGTACTTCTCCAAACATATTTCAACCTTAACAGTTACTCTGAAGTCTATAAAATATTTACATTGCCTTTCTAAACATATACATTATTTACTGTACAGTCTATAAAATATTTATGTGATACTTTTCTAAAGATACTGTATATGATACATATTTTTATTCCCTTTTTTCCTCCTAGAAATAGGTGTGCAGTGAACTGGGACATTTTTGGAAATCAAGGAAAAGCAGCAATAGGGGAAGAGATGGCATCTTTGTTCTTGATGGTCTTGCTCTGTATGCTATAGACCGATGCTGCCTGAGAGAACAAGTGACCGAGAGGAGCAGATGACTACCAGGTATCAGGTGCTTTGGGTTGACTATGAAGGGCTGAAACAGAAACCCAACATACACCCATCCAAATTTCAAAGCAGGAGAGGAAGGACAACATGCATACACACACACACACACACATATACCTAAGACATAACAAAACATGAATCATTCGTCTAGCTTGATTGCCTAGAACACAGTATAGACTTTATACTCTCCAGCTTGAACAAATAATCGCTCTACTCTCACCTCACTTGGTTTAGGTCCAGAGACATTTTCCCCAAAATGAAGCCAAAAAAAGTGAATGGGAGAACGGATGGATTTGTTGGGAAAATTTGAGCTTATAAATACCACTACCATCCCCAAATTTTTAGTAAAATTCACACAACACTTCAAGTAAACAAAATTTATGATTGAATTGTCTCAAGGATCAAATGTCTCAAATAGTTGTTAAGCTGTTTGCATCATTTGGAATAAATACATTGACATAAAGGCTATGCCTCTGGGTTGCCAAATATCTGCTGAAAATTGAAAGAATGTCGTCAGCCACAAGAATGTTTTGTCTTCATGATAGTAATTTGGTTTGAAGCTATCCACTTAGGATCCAGACTTGGTCCACATTCACTGGAATGCACAGTACCATTAGTTCTCCAGATTATGGAGAAAATGAACTTCCTTTGTGGGAACTCGGGATGGAGGGGGATGCTGTAGAGCTCATTAAAAGCCATTTAACACTAAGCTAAATGTCAGCATACTTCGAAAGAGGCCTATTAGTAATGTATACAAGAAGTTATCAGCACTTGTGATAAGCTAAAGAAACCAAACAGTGCAACCCATTAGATGGTACTTATAAGACAGTTGAGTTTTAAGAAATGTTTTAGATAAATTAGATTGGGACTGACAGAAAAGAATAACTCCTACAAGGAAGGGTTTTTATGTAACGCCCTTACCTGGAGCCAAAAATCCTGAGTTTTGACTGAACCTCAATCTGACCCTCAATGATTAACTTGTCTACAATGCATTGGTGACCTCATAGGGGACAGAGAGAACATGATTACATTACAACCAGAATAAGTGTTTTGTTTTTTTTCAGTCTTTTTGTGGATATAATGGACGTAATAGACAAGATCCTCACCAGCACACAAATAGTGTTACTTCTTCCAAAGACTGTAATTTAAAACCTCCCTTCCTCAGTGTAGTCTGCTGGCATTATGGTAAAAAAGCAGTTCTGGTACATAGTTCTGATAATCTGGCTAGATCTAAGAATAACATTAGAACCTTTAGAGTAATATTATTTCTCTCAAATGGACCCACAGAAGATGCAACCCTGTAATTTTTGGCAAGAATAATCTATGGTGACAATTGAGAGGAGAAGAATAAGATCTGACAGTCAGTTGGGGAGGGACATGGATAAGGAAAATTAATGAGACTACCCCAAAAACAAGCCAGAATAGATTAGCACTCCACATCAAAGGAATAGCTATAGGAAGGCCCAACATTTCTATGAAAAGATAGGCATTAAGACTATAGTTATGTGCCATATTATGTTATCATAACACATTTTAGATGTAAGAAATTCAGAATGAGTATAATTACCAGCAACCACCAAAGGAAAAAGATCAAATCAGTGATACTTACACATGTGTCAAATTTTAATCTATTTAGATATTTGTGAGGCCTCTATGATTAACTAATTGGAAATCATGCCTTTTGGTAATTGAATGATTTGACCCCATATAAAATTTTTGACTAAAAGCCAATTAAATGCCACACCGTATCTTTAAAGCTGATAATTTTGATTTACTTACTTTGGTTTGGTATACTTCATCTTAAGCTATTCTTTCTCGTAATAATTAGATAGAAGAACCTGTTTTGTCCAGTAAGGCTACTTCTAGAGCCTAGCAACAGAAACATGTCATCGGCATGGGGAGGAATCCTAGTCATTTTGCTTCTCAATAGCAGGAAGCTCATCCAAAAATTACATAAAATTATTAGGATGAGAGTTGAGGGAAGGGAAACCAAACTGAAGGATTAAATTTGTGTCTCTTTTTCTTTGTTTCAATATTTAGGAGGCTTTTAATTAAGTTCTAGTAGCATAATAATGGCTAAACATTTTTTGAATTCTTACTATGTGCTAAACACTGCTCTGAATAATCTATAGGTATACATTTATTTAATCTTCACAATAATCCTATGAGGCAGGTCCCATTGTAATCTCTATTTCACCAATATGGAACCCGAAGCTTAAAAGTGATAACTTGCCTAATGGCATCTATCAAATAAATGGGAGAGTCAAGATTTGAACATAGGCCCACTCTACTGCATCTTGGTTTAACTCAAGTGCCCTGATGAAGTAGCCTTCAGACAGCCTAATATCAAACCTGTTGTTTACCAAAAATAAATACTTATCCAGAAAATACTTATTAATTTTGATGTTTCAGTAGATTATAAAGGGAAATAATTACAACATGATATGGATTTTGAAACATCTGGAAGAGAGTGAAGGATCAAATAGAAGAGTGTATATGGCTGGGGTTGGAGGTGGTGGTGTTTGGCGATGGAGGTGAAACAGATATACAAAAGAATATAAAGAAAGAAACTGCCTCCTTCTCATCAGTTAGGATTACACACAAAGCATATTATCTTCAGAGGATAGCTCAAAGAAAAGGGAAGAGGATGCAAGTTAAGGGGTCAGGGTGAATTATGCCCTATTTGTTCTAAGTCTTGACGATTGGCATGGTGCCTTTTCTCCCCAGATTAGGAACCCATTGAAACATTTACAGTGACATTGCTTTGATATCTACGGATCAACTCGTGGCCTCCTGGCATTTGATATTGGATAGCTGTCTATTAGGAGAATAGTTATGAGTGGCTATTACAGATACCATATGATAAAGTAGATAAGACAACATCTTTGGACCAAGTTTGCCCTGGTTCAAAATAAAGAAATTGTTTTGTGGACTGTTGGAGACATTATTAGATTTATTGCAAAGAGTTTAAGTTTTGACCGTTCCACTGATTATATATTTGATTTTCTGAAAGATCCCCAAACATTTCTCTAGCTTTCTTTCCATAATATTTTTAAAAATTATAATGAATGATTAGTTTTCATTATGGGTCCATAGTTTTAGTGTGAGCATGGCAAATCAGTGAAATTATCATTTGCCTCCATTTATTGTGTTAAAAAGGTTGGTCATAATCTTTTTTCTCTCATACAAGAGTGCTATAATCATTCATACGATGACTGCACATTTCAAGTTCACAAACATCCACTACCATGTTATCTGCCTTACATATACTAACAGTTTATAGGGCATCAAAAAGAAGAAAAAATAAATACCGTACAACAAAGTTCTGGTTCATTAAACATGTCATATCACTTTAAAATCTAATAGTACCTTACGTTATAGTATGTTTAAACAAAATGTATATGTAGTTAAAACCAGCGAGTCCAAAATTACCTTATTCAAAGGACAGTAGATTTTAGCACTGTTGCTGTAATAATTTGAAGGCCCAAGGACCTATTATTGGTACCTTAAACTAAGCCTAGTTTGACTTCAAGGAACAGAAACCTTTTAGTCCTGCACCACGTAAAAAGGAGAGTCTATGGTGAGGCAAGCTTCCAAACACAGGAATTAAAGTCTAGTTGGCTCTTCTGTCAACTGGAGCTAAGTGGATGTCAGAAACAGAATCAGTTCTGGGTCTCCCAAGGGTCACAAACGTCTACTCTACCCTTCAGGATTTGCATGCTTTATTTCAGCTCTAGTTATCTTGATATTGTCTGTCTAATCTCACAGTAGATTGGCTTCCATTGCTTACACGTGGTCCAACAAGGTGAACCTAAGTTTATTTGATCTTGTAGGTTCCAATATTCGCATTTGCCAGCTACAGCCTTGATTCTCAACTGAGGAAGCTTGTCTGCTCCAGATGGAGCATGCATATCGGAATCTTTAGATAGGGAGAGGAGGTGCATGAGCAGTTTAAATATCCATCTTTCTTATTTTAACATAAACTTTATATTTGGAAAAGTTAATACATAACCAGTGTTTCATTACGCAAATTATGGAAACCAAAGCTCCACAGAATTTTCCTGGTGAATGAGAAAAAAATGTTAAAATGTAGAGGCACACTTTACTGAAGTCTGTTTCTGTGTCTTTTAGTTCAAACTCAAGAGAGAGTGAGAGCTGGCCTGATGGATTCTAGCTAGCCAATGACTTTACTAGTGTTGGGGCAGGTTTACCGTCTCTGGTCTAGGCCATTGTGCCTGGGAAGAAGGATCATGTGGAACAAACCTGAGCTATCCCTTAAAAGGGAGTTATGGGTGAGGTAGTTCTCAGACAAGAGCATCGTGGGTGGTTCCTTTTCCCCCAAAATCTGTTAACTATGCAGCTGCGATGATCAAGCTTCATGAAAAGACAAGTCTTGGATTCAAATTTAGAGAAAGGGATATAGTTTAAATAAATAAAAAATTCTGGATAGAGGAGATATTTCAAAAGTGAAAGTATCCAAAATGAAGCGTATGCAATATATTTTGAGGATAATGGTTGTGTTAATGGGTTTATAGCAGATTAGCTCTTGACATAGGGTTCAAAGCAATTTTGCAACGAAACTCACAGATGCGATTGCTCTCAGGACCACCCTCTCTTCTGTTGGGAAAGGATTCTTGGTTGAAAGCTACCAAGCTTGCAAAACATATTTGCCATGAGGGAGGAGTTGCTAGAGCCTGCTAGAGAGCAAGAAGCTGCTGGTTTCCCCTGCTCTCAGCAGATTTTCTTCCAAACATGGTTTTCCAACTTGAACCAGACAACAGATTTACACCTGTCTTGAAAAGGTTGGGATTCGTGTCTTTAAAGTTTCCAAAAAATGTGCAGAGGTCATTCCTTCCTTATTTCCTTATTGCCTTAAAGAGGGCAAATGGAACTAAAAACAACAGGGGTGTGTGTGTTTGGAGGAGGGAAGGACAGAGTATGGGAGGAAGGAGGGAGGTCATTGACAGTAATAATTCTTTATGATTTTACCTCCCAGGGCCATTCTAGGTGGCCTCTTCCTAACATATCTTAAACACAGGGTCAGGAAAGATGGCACAAGGGGCTCCCAGATTCCAGGGAGATAGGGAGGAAATTATTAATTTCAGTAAAGTGGGATGCTTTAGAAAACCACTGAGCTCTTATTGTGCGGCAAAAAAATGCTCTGTGGAATTTTCCTTTTTTTTTTTTTTTTTAAGGCTGACATCCTCATGTGATGTTTACATGCACAACTTCTATAGGTAACCCAGATAGGCTTATGTGCAGCCTTTTTATGGTTCTCGTTCATTCTCCTTTAATGGAGAAAGGGACGGTCTTTATCCCTTATGAATTTGAGACAAGGCTGGAGTTTTCTCAGTCTAGGCCTGCTGAGACAGCTCCCGGTACGCCTATTTTGTCTTCTCTCTCTGTCCTGTCTTCCTGGCCCCGTTGTCAGTTTATTTTGCCTTCAGGCTGAACAGGGCCTCTCCCTTCCTGTTAGTGCTTTGTCACTGCTCCGTCAGCAAGTTATCGGCTCTTCTTTCTCTGCAGCAGTTTCTCCTCCTGCCTCGCTTTCAAGTACACATCCAAGGTTGCTCAGCAGTGTCCCATGTGCCCTCTGGAATCATCTGTTCCTTATTCTAGTGGCTTGAGGAAGAGGTTTTTTTAACTTTCCTTTAGGTTGTGGGGAACGGGGCTTTCTGTGAGGGAGGAGAGCTGATTCCCAGGGTTCACACAGGCCAGAAGTTACCGGCTTCGTGAAAGCTGGTACTTTGTTTTAAGAACTGGCAGGAGTCTGTTATCTTTGGGTACCCCAGAGGGTAATCACTCACAGGGAGTCTGATCCTGTGCTGTCTGAGAGAGGACACTACAGAGCCTTTGTCGCCTTGCTGCCTGCCTACCAACAGCCTCCACACCAACACAGCCTGCACCTCCTGCCTGGAACTTCCCAGCATTCCCCAGTTCACCCTCCCTGGGGCTGAGCAGAACCTTCACACCAGGAGCTCTGAGGGGTGGAAGGGTAAGGGGGCTTGCAGTTTGAAGTAAATTTATCAGCTTTCTCAAAGCACAATAGTATTATGAGTTCATCTCAGTTTATTTTCTGTCTCTATGTTCAAGAAAGGCTCACTGTATATGATTTTTAAAACGTTTTTTCCTTCCTCTCTTGTGAAATACAATATGCATTTAGAAAAAGTACATGAAACATATGGGTTCAGGTTAATGAAATATCATAAAGCAAATAGCTACATACCTACCCCTTTATTTTTTAAACTGCGACTTTTTTCAGGCCAAAACCAAATTCTTTAAAACTTGGGCCTTTTGACTTATGGAAAGTAATTAGGAATATATAATTGAAGACTGATTTGGTTAATATCTCAACGGTGCAATTGTTATTTTATGTTCGTGTATTTTGCTGTCACTTGACTCAATTAGTTGCCTTCAGATGAACCACTTCATGGTTATCTGAGATGAAATTTTTATTCCAGGTTAACTTTCCTTATTAAACTGCTGTATTTCAGGACTTCCTCCTTCTTTTGCAAGGTTTAACCCAAGAAAAGCAAATTGACCTGCATCCTAGGGTAGGCAAAACACAATTCTTTGTACTTACAAGGTAAAACAACATCAAAATGTCCTAGTGAGTGTAGATATCCCATATGAATTACTTTTGGAGCATTCAAAGTTTAAGATCATTTTTCTCATTTCCACGAACTCTGTAGAGCTGACTGAAGTGAAATCTTTTCACACTGATAAATATTTAATGTGTGCCTTCCACGGACTAGGCATTGTTCTGGGTGCTTGAGCTACATGAGTAAAGAAACAAAGATCCTTACTCTTACGGAGCTTACATTAAAGCAGCCAAGAAAGAGTCTATAACAATAAATATATTATATAAATAACTTAGTATGATACAAAGTGATGAGTGCTATTGAGAAAAAAACACACCCACACAGCAGGGTCACAGAACTGGGAGCTCAGGGTGGGGTGGGTGGGCAGAGTGCTATATTAAATAGGTTTGTCGAGATAAGTCTTCTTGAAAAGGTACGATGTGATCAAAGGCTTGAAGAAGGTGGGGGAGTCAGTCATACAGATATCTGGGGGAAGAGCATTCCAGAGGGGTAGAGGGAACAGCTCGAGCAAAGGTCTTCGGATGGTAGCATACCAAGTGAGTCTGAGAAAGAGCAAGAAAGCCAGAGCAGAGCGGCTGGAGCAGAGAGAGAGAGAGGAATGGAGAACTGGATATAAGGTCAGAGATGCGGGGACCAGTTCATATAGGGCCCTGTGGGTCACAGCAAGGACTTTGCCTTTTCCTTTACTGAAATGGTGAGCCCTTGCAGAATTTTTAGCAAAGGAAGGCTTGATCAGATTCACTTTTTCAATGGGTGTGCCAGTTATTGAGTTATTGTCTCTCAGCTCCAAACTCATCCTTCTTATACTTGGCTTGGTCACACTCAGGCTGGGACTCTGCAAACCATGTTTCTGCTTTGCCAGTTGCCCCTATTAGACTCTGCCAACAGCTGGTAATAGAGGGGGCCTGCCACAGTGGAGGAAGAAGAAGGTCTTGCTCCTTCCTATTTGCTTCCTGTCTGCTTCCTGTTCCCACCAGTGCTTCTAGAACCCAGCAGCAGCAGTCTCCTCCCTCGGCAGCAGTGTGTGGCATTCCCACCACTCGCAGAACGAGCCTCATCTCACTCTCTCAGAAGCACCGGCACCTGTCAGTCAGCACCTGTCGTTCGGGGCCCAAGCCGCTTAGTGTTAATATGTTCAACCTCTTTCCTCTGTTCCCCAGCCGTAGTCACCCCTTCCTGCTCTTTCTACCTCCCTTTTACCTCTTTTTGCCTTTTCAGTTACTCAGTTAACAACTTTATGTCTAATTAACAATTATTTATATTAAATTCTCCCTGTTAACATAATTGTTGTGATTCCAGACTTTTTTTTAGCCTGGGCAACTAGAAGAATGGATTTGCCAACCACCAAGGTGAGGAAAGCTGTAGGTAAAGCAGATTTGGGGGAAAATATAAAAAATCAAGTTTGGCCACATTTCTTAGACAAATAAAGATGTCAAAGATGCAGTTGGATATTATGCAAAACTAATTTTCATTCTTTTCTATATGGCCCCTGGGCCATGATTATACCTTTTGCTATAGTAGAAATATTCATTGAATGATTTATATTCTTGAAGTTCAATTGTTTTCAAGGATTTAAATCATTCAATTAAGAACACAGATGTTGGAATTAGACCTAGGTTTGAAGGCTGGCTCTTTGGTTGATCTGTGACACTGAATAAGATATGTAAACTCTCAAAGCCTTGATTTCATCATCTATGAAAATAGAGGAAATAATGCCAAAGTTTAACAGTAATTGAAAAGTGGAAATTAAAGAACATATAGTGGTGAGCACCCAGTCACCTCTGAAAGTAAAATGTCCTCCTCAGTTTCCTTCTATGCAAAATGGGGATAATGTCTATTTTATAGGATTCTTTGAAGTATTACATCAGAACGGACATGGAAATCACTGAGCACAGAGCCCTCTACACAACGGGCACTCGGTAAATCTGAGTTTCCTCTTGCATATTATTTTGTCTTATCCTCACAACATCTCTCTCAGTTACAAATTTAATAGCATTTTTCAGAATCTGTTCTGCAAAGCATTAATTCCAGAAGATGTTGATAGGGGTTAGCACAACAAAATAAAATGATAAACATATATTTAATTAAGAATAACCAGTCTATTCAACTGTGCAAATTGTAATCAACATAAAACTGTATCTTTCTCCCTCACCTAGCCTCCACACTTAATTGAGTGAGGGTAACCCTTTTCTGGCTGTGGATTGGCTGCTTTGACAGGCTGATAACTGTCTACGCATCCTTAGTAATAGGCAGTATCACAGTCATTTTAAGTCATAGGTTTATCTCAATTCAGATATTAGAAAGTCTAGGCACCAAGAGGCGGCGGCTGGCTGTACGTCATGACTGCTGTCTAGCTGTAGGTAGACCTCTGACCTCTATGGCCCTTTGCCCTTCTTACTCAGTATGTTCCATCCCCATTTGGCGAAATCATCTTGAAGGGTCACAGAGAGTGACAGCGTATTTTCCAAGGAACCACTCTGCCATACAAAGCTAAGTCAGAAAAACAAATGTATTAAATGTCTATAATCAAATCCAGCTAAGCATTTCTTTACCAGGCTCTAGATACCTGGAATCCAGAAATGATGGTGCCCTGCTACCCGGGATCATTGTCTTAGGCATGAGGAAAGTGGTGAGTTGCTTCCAAGTGGTGATGTTTCTGAGAGAGTATAGCATTCCAATTAAAGATGTCCACTCTATACCCAAATCCTAGCTCTACTTCTTGCTGGCTGTGATTCTGAAAAATGTTACTTAACCTCTCTGAGACTGTTTTACATCTCTAAAATGGGGATACTAATAGAGTTGTGTGAGTATTAAAGGCGGTGATCCATTTAAAACACTCAACCTTGAGGCTGATACATTACAGACACTTGGTGATAGCTGTTAATATTGGAGAACTCACAATGCAGTCAGATGAAAAAAATAATCCAACAGTTGTTGCTAAACTGCATGTTATTGCTCACATGTCGAACAAGAGTTGAAAAAATAATAGTCTGGGTCACAGAAGTTAAGAGAGATATCACAGAAGAGGAAAGAATGGATCTGAGCCTTAGATAATGGAGAGGAAATTTGTGCTACTTCTGCTTTTATTATTTTGTTATTTTTTTTGGAATGAGGACAAGGAGAGCGAGAGATTACAGCAGTATAAGAAGGGGAAATATTGAGAAAGGGACAGCAAATTTTTGTTTCTACTTTTCTGGAGGTCCATGTTTTTACCTTCTATTGGAAATCTGGCTTTAGTGTATTGCTGGGTGGATGGGATGTTATCTTCTCATTACAGCACTTGAACTATAGCTCTTTTGTTCATTATCCTAAGTTAAATTTTTTATTTTTTTTACAAAGAAAGTAGGCATGACTCACCTTTCTTTAGTTGACATTTATATCACTAGCATTATTATATAATGTAGCTTTTGAAATAATTTCAATTTGGATCAAGTTCATATTTTCTTTGCACTATTAGTCTCCAAAACCATAACTGCAGTACCAATTGGCACAGAATTTTAGAGGCTGTCATAAAATGCAAAAGAAAGGATTGGATATTTAATATTCAGTACCCCCAAAGATTAGTGGAATTATTTCTTTTTTAAAAAAGACATGACTAGGAACTTGGATGAGACATTTTTCAGTGCAAATGATCAATGTAATAAACAAAAATCATTCACTGAAGAGGAACATTGCTTATCACTCATACTTCGAGAAACGAGGGGAAGCATTCCAGTCTGGTGGATTTACTTCTCCTGTAATTCGCCACGTTTCTGAAATGAGCAGCTTGGCAACATAGAAATTTAGACTCACATTTCTATCCATAAATCACCAGTCTGTCCCCTATGTTGACAGTTTCTGTACAAAACTGGAGGATTTCAAAGTGTTCCAGCAACAAAATGTAAGAAATTGCAGAACACATAAATTTCAAGTGTTTTCTACCTACGTCAGCAACATCATTTTAGCAAGATACTGACAGGATATTCAAGTGCCAAGATGGAAAATAAAATAAAATAAGGTAAACAGCAAAACAGAATTCAAAATAAGGGGCGTTCTTGGATAACCAAAGTAATTATCAGGAGATGCCATTCTGGCTTAATAAACTGCTTGTTAGTTACCTAAGTGAAGACAAGTTAAGTTGGAAATATAAGGGACAAGTGCCAAGTTCAAAATCAAGAATTAGACCAAAAAAAGTACTATTTTGAGTAAATGTTGTATCTTTCATCAATCAACTATTAAGCACTTACAAGCATCTGGGCCAAACACTTTGTCAAACATTAAGGAGAAAAATGAGATGAGATGAATAAACTTAGTTCCTGCCCTCAGGGAGCTTATAATTTAGTAGTTTTGTGATTTGAAACTTTAAGACAACTTTTTAAAAGTGCAAGATTCAAAGGAAGGTACAGATTATGTAAATGGAAATTATGGGTCCAGCAGCTTAATCATCCCCAAGATGAAGAAGAAATATTCCTGTCATCGTCTTCCTCACAAATTTAACAGGAGTATCTGTGAAGCCCTTGGTGACCCTTAAAAGAAGCAAGCCAAAATTTTCATAAATAGCCTGTTCACCAGGAACCTGGATCTTTATAGTACCATTTCTAATTATTTTTTACAAGTGATGTGAAAGGGGTGGGCAATGAGAAAGAAAAAGAACTTTTAAAATCAACTCCTGACAAGTGACATAGTTTCACTTTTCTCTTTTGTTTCGTTTAAGTGCCTTGGCTATTGCCTTTATATTGTACTTATTTGTAACGATCAGTTAAATTGATGAATAGCAGGAATAGTAAATTTAATAGATTGTGCTTAATATTTTGCTCTGGAGCTAATGTTCTTCTAAATTAGTTAGCTTTAAATGATTATGTCTTCCTTTACAACTGCCTCAAATTCTAAAACTCCTTGTACCTAGATTAAGGACATTGAAAGGAAGTGTAGGCGGCAGAACGGGCTGAGTGTTACAGGGACTAATATCTTAATGCATTGTTATTGCTTTATTGATTGGAATCGATCTTTTCTCTTGTTCATTTTCGTAGGTGCTCCCAGTGTGAGAGCGATTGTGAAAACTGCAAAATATCTCCTACTCACAGATTTATTTTCATAGCAATCTCCACTCTTGCTATAATGTGTTTTAGACCAAATATGAATTATTTTGGAAAGCTGGTAATAATTCTTTTGCCTCCCAGGTAATCTTTCTAGCTTATTGAATTTAAATGCTTATGGTTGAGAAAATAGATATTTCTTGTATATACATATTTTATATAAATATATAATATTATATATACACATGCACGTATGTATATATAAACCATATAAATCTGTGGTTTATATGACTAGGAATTCCCTATTGAGAATAGCTGAACAAACTTTTCATTTGAAAGATCACTATAATGATGACGGACATTAAAAACCACAGAGAGGGCTTCAGAGCACAGGCAAGAGGACGTTTAATGCACAGATCATTTCTAGGCGTTATAGACAGATGAAAAGGCACTAGCTAGAAGAGGAAGGTGGAAATTTTGGTTGGTGGGCAAAATTAACAATAGTATTTTCACAACCATTGTTCTCTGTTTGAATCCATGCTTTTCTTCCGACTTTCTGAAAACACCAGGCTTCATTCATCTGTTGGCTCTGTTTGCGGTTTGCAGAGGTGTCATTGTTCTTAGCCACATCCTGTTTTCCCTTAGATGGCCTTTTAGGTTCAGTGGGAGTAACCAGAGGGTCAACTTTGTTGTCTTTTATGGTGGAGAAAAACACTGTGTAGTTCAGGGAAATCAGAGTCCATCTTTAAACTGCTCCTTTGAGTTTGCAATTTGGAAAATGGACTTCACTTCCCACTAACAGTAATTGCTGTAAAAACTCATGGACACTAGATTGGTGGATGGCATTTTTCAAATCTAGAAGGAGGCAGAATTATTTGTGGTCAGTAGTAGTCAGTTTTCATTTAAGTATAAATCAGTTCTCAATTTATCCTTCTCTCAAAATGGTGACCTGCCTCAAAAAATATCTGGGGAAGAGGAGTTTGCCTTATTTCTACGAGACTTTCTCCTGGTATCCTATCTCAGCTGAGGGGCACTGTGATCAGCACCCCTGTGCTAGCTATAGGATGAACTTATAAAAAGTATGTAAACATGGGGTGGGTCTCTTCATTCTTATGCCACATCCCTGCCTTCTCTCACCACTCCACAAAGTTGTTTTAGACATTAAAATACGAGTGATCGTATTTAAAACTGTACACAACAGGGACCAGCCCCATGGCCTAGTGGTTAAGTTTGGCATGGTTTGCTTCGGTGGCCTGCCTTCAGTTCTGGGCATGGATGTACACCACTTGTCGGTGGCCATGCTGTGGCGGCAACCCACATAGAAAATAGATGAAGATTGGCACAGATGTTAGTTCAGGGCGAATCTTCCTCAGCTAAAAAGAAAAAAAAAAAAAGAAAGAAAGAAAAGGAAAAAAACTGTACATGACATCTGATTATCCTCATAGTTCATGAACAAGAACCCACAGAGTTTAAAGTAATCTGTTGGCATCCTCTCCTGGGTGCATGTAAATTTTATTTTTTGAAAGATCTTATTTTTCCTTTTATTTCTCCCAAAGCCCCCTGGTACATAGTCGTATATTTTTAGTTGTGGGTCCTTCCAGTTGTGGCATGTGGGACACCGCCTCAGCATGGCCTGACGAGTGGCGCCATGTCCGCACCCAGGACTTGAATGGACAAAACCCTGGGCCACTGAAGTAGAGCGCGTGAACTTAACCACTCGGCCACAGGACCGGCCCCTAGGTGCATGTAAACTTTGCAGCACTGCCTTCAGGTCTGTGACTTCCTCATCTAGCTTAAGGAAACTCCAGCGCACATTCTTGGTCTAGCCTCTCATCCATCTCATTCCTCCCATCGTGCATTTCTTAATCTGAGTTAAGTACCTAGTTAAGTATCCAGTACCCAGTGGGATACTTTGCCTCTCCAAATTTGTGTAGAACAGACCAAAGTGGCCATTGTCTACCCAAAGCAAGCCCTTTGGATATCTGTCCACCAGAGAAAGTTTTAGATGTCTTTTATTTTTCTAAATGTCCAACAGGAACTCCTGGGTCAAACTCATATTTCTCCCAAAGACTAATATTAATTTTCAGATTGTTCCATCTTGATCCTTAAAGAGAATTTTTTTGACTCATCCTATAACCTGCAAGTTACCATATTATTATGATCAGTTCCTTTCTTTTGATCCCTCCAAACTTCTCAAGTCTCCTGCAAATGCAAAACAAAAAAACAAATTAAAAATTCCAATACCTCGTAACCGCTCCTCCTCTGGTTATGTACAGACTCAGCCGCAGCTTTGGAATTCCATGCCTAGTTTCTGACTGGCTGGGTATGGTTATATGTTTTCCTTTTTCCAGTTACATTTGCAAGGAAAGCTGTTTGTGAGTTTGGACGGTTTACAACAGATTAATTCCTGTTTGCTTCATGGTATATGGACAGAGGATTAAGCTTGAAATGAGAAGGCCTTGGTGAAAAATCCAGCTTAACTCTTTCCTTGCTGTTTGATTGTACAGAGTTTTCTTAAATCCTAGCGATCCAGTTTCCTTTTGTATCAAATGTGACTAATATCTTGCTTGTCCTATGGGTATGTTAAGGTTAAATCGGATCATTTAAGTGAGAATAGTTAACGTAACTCTCAGGATATGATAAGGGCTCCATAAGCGTCAAATAGTGAATCTATATCTGGTTTTGCTATATAATGATAGGTTATTACCAACTTTATGAACAACCAAACTTTAAATGAGATTGCTAATGACTTGCGAGACTGACTATATTTTCATTTTCTCCCTAATTGGAAGGCCATGTTGCATTAAAGCTTTTACTCTTACACGTGTCTTTTTTCTTTAGAATTTCACCAACAATATTAACTGATGGGATACTAAGTGATTCTAGCGCATGGGTGGGTACTAGGTTATCATCATTTCACTTGAACTTTTATGTAGGGACTATTCTGGGAACACGTTATTAATTTTCCTTATTTGCTATATATAATGACAAGAATAGTCCCCATTTATTGAGCCCATAAATAACTGTGGTTATGTGGCTGGAAGATTAAGTACTTAATATACATTATCTCATGTAATCCCCACTCCAATGCTATGATGCTGAAAACATTAACATCAGTCTGCAGATTGGGAATCTGATACTCGGAGAAATTAAATAGCTGGCACAAGGTTTAGCAGCTACAAAGCAGAGGGCTTTATTTGAAGCCACTTCTGACACCTATGCTAGAGCGTTCAATAACTACACTATACCTATCTTGTGCTATCTCAATAATTTCCTTTGACAATATTATCGTCACATAATAAGTGATTCTGCCTTATCACATCCTAGCCCAGTTGACTCCCTGCTCCGCTGTCTCCTGTGCATGGTGCTGCCCATGGTAATCAGCTTTGCCTCTGTATTTTCCTGAAGAGAGGTCTCCTTACCCAGTGCTTCCTCTCTGGGTTCCTCAATCTAAATGTAGATTATAGTTGTCACGCAGGACTGTGCAGGTTAGAATCCTGTCTTTAACAATATCTGAGTGAGACCTTTGAACTAGAGATATTATAAGACAACAGCAAAAAAAATCAGTTGAGGATGAACCCGTGCTCTGATATAAAGTTCAAGCTTGAGCAAAATTGTAACAAACCAGGCTGACATGGCGACACAACTACAACCCACTGGGAGTTGGTAAAATGCTAGCCAAATGTGACTGACAAATCTCTCTCTCTTCCTTGGTCTTCTAAAAAAATCCTCTTTCCCTGGTGTTTGTGTCCTTCTTGGTTTTCTGTTGATCTTCTTCTGTGATGATCCAAATGCTACGTTCTTCTATCAGGACTTCTACAGCGAGTGAGGCAAATCCTCTTTAGAGCAGTTAGTCAAAGCTCAGGCTTTGAATGCAATTGCTTCATGAAGTTTTTACATAGCTCTGATTGTTTCTATCTGCCTTTGCTCACATCTTCAAGGTTCACTTTCTTGTAATGCCTACTGTAGTTCCTTGCTATCTGAAAATGGTTTCTATTTCTCAGATCTTATGAGCTGGCTATGGCAGCAGTCAGAAAGACCACCCTGACTCCAGCAGTAAGGGACAGTTTCCCCCATTGTTCATAAATGTTTTATTCCATTCTGTTTCCTGTATCTCAGTGTCAGAAACTCCCTCTGTTTACAGAAGCCTGGGACATTGGGTTATTTCGCTTGACCGTGTTCCCCACTGAGTGCACTGTATTATCACGTAAAGATCCCTAAGCTAGTCTATGTTACAACTCTTTCAGCTATAATGTAATTTAAATTTAAGAGACACAACTGAACAAAACTGAGTGTTTATCCACTTGGGAATAGGATAGGCCTTTATAAACATTTAGGCAAATTAATGAAAAGATGGATTAATAAATTTGGCTACATAAAAACTTAAGCTTTCTGTGTAACAGCAGCATCAACAAAATAGTCATAAACAAAATAATTAGGCAAATGAAAAACTGGCATAATATTTGCCACTTTGAATATGTGAGTTATAAGAAATTAATGAGAAAAATACAAATGTGTTGGGAGAAAATTGTCAAAGACCGTGAAGAGGCAACGAACCAAAAAAGAAACTTTAATATACTAAATATATGAAAAATGTTTAACTCTATTAGAAATTAGGGAAATAAAAATATTTCACTTATCAAAATAGAAGTATACAAAAATGTATGTATCCATGTGTATATCTGTAAGGGCAGAGACTTATGGGCATTTACCCTGCTGGTGACAATGACATTGGCACAAGTTTTCTGGATACCATTTTGGAAATAGATTTCCAATCTCTATATATGCTTTTGCCACTTCATCCAGTAATTCACTCTAAAAGACTATCCTAAGGAAAGAAGCTGGGGTTTACACAAAGATTCATGTAGACAAATGTGAATTGCAGAGTGGAGTATAACAGCAAAAAATTGAAAATAATATGTGTACAGAGGAAAATAAAAGAGTTGGGAAAGAAATTATGTATGTACGTAAGAGGGAATAATCTGCAGCAACTTCAATATTGTTGTGCTTTACAACAATATTTGGTGATATAGGAGAATGCTGACTAACTTGCTAAGTGAGAAGAGATGCTACACATTAGTATGTGCAATATGATGCTCATTGGAGGAAATTACAAATATATGTATGAATATGCACAGAAAAGAAATGAATATTCCAAAATATTATTAACAATGAACATTTAGTGGGAATCGGGATTTAGGAGTGATTTTTATTTTTTGGTTATACTGGTTTTCATCAATGGCCATATATGACCTGGAAAAAGATTAATATTTTTAAAAATAAATTTTTGCAGCCTTTTTTACCCTATCAAAATAACTAGGATATAATGTACTTTAGATGGAGTATTTTCCTTACTTGTTGTCCAGATATTTTAATTTACATTTCTAGTCATAAATCTATTCTTCTTTTGTTTCCAGAATGTGTTCATGAATCTGTATTTCTCAGTCAGAACTCAGAGAAAAGATTAAAGGCAGTCATTACCTTCTTTTCTTTTTACACAGGCAGCAACATTTATTTTTAATGGTTCTATTTTAAATCCCTGTTGTTAGAAACATTTATTTAACCTCTAACTCCGCTCTCCGGAGACATTTGTGTTTATATCAGGTTGGACCTTGACCTTCACAACCTCACACTCAGGGGAAATTTGTTGTTGTTGTTGTTGTTGTGCTTTCAAAAAGATTTGATTGAAACTGGTTTGGCTCATTCTTTTAGGTTTGGAAATAGCCAAAAGCAATTCTACTTTGGACTATTTGAGGAGACTTTATTTTTCCCTCCTCTGGTGTAAAAAGATTTCATTATGAAAGTGACATTCTACAGACAGCGAATAAAGAATGTGTGAAAGCGTTCCCCCTCAAGCTTGAGTGGTAAAAATCGTCTATTGCCATTGCCTGCAACTTGTCACTTCTCTCCTGTTTCCTTGGAGGCATAGAGGCATGCAGAGTGGCGCGGCAGACAGTGTCTTCATTGTCCTCCAGATAATTTGATAGGACTAGGCTTGGTGTCTAGTTTCAGGCAACTAGCATCTGGTCGCTTCCCATAGAGACACTCTTAGATACTTCTAGAGGATTTTGGAAGAGATATAAAGACCTTTACTCCACCTTCTAGAGAATGCCAGGAGTAGGTACAGATGTTTGTCACTTATTCCATGGAAAGTGAGACTAGTGTAGTTATGGGAAGAGTTTTTAGGTATGTGCAGGGAAAAGTGTAAGAAGAAAGAATGAGTCTAAATAATTTCCACTCACCTCTATATCCTCCTTCAACATCTGGGCTCTGAGAGAATATTCTGAAGGTTTCCACTCAGCTCCGGTTTTCCCATGTATCACAGACCACTCCTGAGGATACATGAGAATAACAGAGGCCACAACAGACACATTACTCAGATCCCCAGTCCCTGTTGTGAGATCCCCTGACCAATTATTACTGAGAATGTTTCACATGGACTCAGATACGTAGTCCTCTCAGTTACCACATGGGGCTCATATTTTTTTCTCCTTACTTCTGCTCCTGTGGCAATGTTTCTCTAAGGCCTTTGATGACCTTGAAGACTTAGTGCCAATGTCAGTTGAACAATTATTGCTGACCATGCAAAGACAACTGCTGCCTGCATTGAGGGTGCTAGCGCTCCCAGGACTGAGCACTTTGTCATCATGTTAAATGCTCAAGCTATGCACGTAGACAACCGAGGCTCCCCAGTTTACTACCTGGGTGACCTTGGATAAATGCTTACTCTATCTGGCAGAGGTTGCTAGCGGCAGTGATTGCCTCCCACTATCAACAGAATTCAGAGCAATATGCCCAGCAAAAACACAACATTCACCAAGCTCTTGGGCAGCTGAGTGTGGCCATGTGGCAATTTTGGCTATGCTAGAAATGATGTTTGGGACTTTTAGGCGAGACTAACTAAAGGGAAAGAGATGAGTGCCCTGGATTTCTGCCTCATTTGCTGCCTGGAAATGCAAATGTGAGGCTGAAGCTCCAGCAGCCGTCTTGGATCGTGAGCTGGTTTTAGGAACGGACGTCATTTATTGAAGATTGCAGAGAGGAAACAAAGAAGCCTGGAGGCCCCATCATGCACCCTGGATAGCTACCTTCAGGAATCTTTTACATAGGAGAAAAATAACTTCCCAATGCACCCTGGATAGCTACCTTCAGGAATCTTTTACATAGGAGAAAAATAACTTCCCAATTTGTGTAAACTGTTGTCATTTTGGTCTTTCCTGTAATATGCAGCCAAACCTAATCCTAACTAGTATATCTCTGTTTAATTATCTAGAAAAGGAGGACAAATAGCAGTACAATGGGGTTATTGTAAGGACAAAATGAAGTAATACAGGTAAAGCATTTTTTGAGCTCAATAAAGCTTAGATACTATCACTAAATAAAAGCTTAGTTTGCCCTTAATAAAAGTTAAATATTATAACTTGAATGAAAGCTTAGATTCTATGAGTCCAGTCTTCAAATGGAATTGTATGTGAAAAACATGGTCTGGCCACAAAAATAATTAAAAGCAATTTAAATTTTAATTGGAGTTACTAAAAAATATCAACATGGATCCAATCTGAAATTCAGAGAGACTTTATTTTAAATGGAGAAAGTTCTTTTTCTGTTAGTTATTTCGAAAATAATTTCAAACTTACAAAAATTTGCCAAAATAGTACAGAAAACTCCTTTAACTTATTCACCCAGATTTTCCAAATGTTAACATGCTATTGCATTTCCATAAGTCACTCACTTGTACACCCATTATCATTAGTTTTCTTCTTGAACTTTTTGAAAGAAAACCATAAAATGACACCCCATAACCCTGAGACACTCCGAACTGTGTTTCCCAAAGAAGGGTGGTCTCCTAAGTAAGCAGCATACAACACTCCAAATCAGGAAATCTACATTGATACAACATTACCATCCATCCATGGGCCCAAATTTCAGCGACTGACCCAATAATATCTCATATTCCTTTCTGATCCAGGTTCCCAACCAGAAATATTTGAGCATTTAGTTATAAGGTATCTTCAGATAACTTCAACCTGGAACAATTTCTTAGAGTTTCTGTTTTTCATGTTCGTGACAGTTTTAAAGAATACAAGTCTTTAATTTTCTATCTTGCCCCTCAACCTGGGTTCATATGATATTTCCTCATGACCAGACTCAGATCTTGCATTCTTTTTAGATTTCTTTTTTTTTTTTTTTGGTGAGGAAGATTGTCCCTGAGCTAACATCTGTGCCAGTCTTCCTCTATTTTGTATGTGGGATGCCATCAGAGCATGGCTTGATGAGTGGTGTGTGGGTCCACGCCCGGGATCGGAACTCCTAAACTATGGACTGCCAAAGTGGAGCGCACGAACTTAACCACTATGCCACCGAGCCATCCCCCAGATCTTGCATTCTTGACAGGAAATCATGCAAGTGATGCTGTGCTCTTCTTAGTGCATCAAAACAAGACCGACATATCCATCACTGGGGATATTAATTGTGGTCACCTGATTATATTGGTATCTGTCAACTTTCTCCCACTTAAAGTCACAATTTTGTTCTTTACAAGTGATTATTAATATATTATAGAGAGGGATCATGAAGTTATTCCGATATCTGTGTCTCATCAAATCTCCATCATTAGCTCTAGCAAATTCTAAAGACTTGTCTGAATCGACCACCTCTGTAATGTTTGCCCAGTGGTGGTTCTCTATTTACATCATTCCTTTTATGTTTATTCATTGGAATCCTTCTCTGAGGAAGAGCTTTCTCTTCTCCTCCATTGATTTATGTATTTACATCTGTCAGCTCCTTATTTTGGCACCTATGTCCTTTTGATATGTGTCCATCATTTGTTGAACATTTCCTTATTTTCTGAAAAAACAATATATTCCAAGCTCATTTTATACTTTTCCTATCCCAGTCCTGGAAATTATAATTTCTTCAAGGAGCCCTGGTTCTTTTTTAGTAGAGGTGGGTAGGCAGAAGCTAAGATCTAGGTGCTTAGTATGTTCATTATATTGTATACTGGGATGCCATTTCTTCTGGATCTTCTCAGTGGACAGAGCTGGGAAATACATGTGTAAATATGTACATATAACTGTAAATACATATACATATATATTATATAAATATTCTCCCACATTCATCTTAATTTCTATACCTATCTGTGTGTATATATTTGTCACAAACACATGTCTAGTTGACATATGTATATGTATACGTGTGCATATGTGCACACATATATATAAACAGACCATGAGTTCATAATGATACCATACCTCCAATTCCAGTTGAACACCTTAGTCTTCTTTCTACTCTTTCTCCTTTCCCCGTTTGTAAATATCTTCCCAAGAAGTGAGAAATTTGGTTTCCATTATCCTTAAAATATTGAATTATTTGCTCAAATTGCTTATTTACTCAATGTAGCCAGTCCTCCCACCACAGTGGCCATTTCCTCAACCTACCATCTCTGCTCCCACCCTGCCACAGCCTGTATCCTTGATGGACTTGCTGACCTGTGCTGCAGAGAAGGGAAGGAAGGGAGGCGAAATGGGGAGGGAAGGGGCAGCAGCACTTTTTAATCTCTTATCCTCATTCCTTTTGCTCATGACATTTCTCACACCCTGCATCTGCCCTGAAGGGGCGACATCCCGTGTAAAGCACACCAGCATACATTAATAGGAGTTTTTTTGCACACTTTGCAAAAATGTAGTAGTAGTTTTTGGGAAAAAAAGCTTAATTTCCCAAACTCCTTGCATTTTAAATCAAATATAATAGATAGACTTCATTTTGCACTAAATGTAGTGCTAGAGAAGTTGACCTTGACTGCAAAGCTCTTCCACTGCCAGCGAGAGTTAAATGCATGAAGGTAAATGCAGGATTTCATGTTCCTACTTCAGGCAAAGCCATAGGGGGTGTGTGTATGTATGGGTGTGTGTGTGTGATTGCTCAGTTGTTCTCTTAGCTGTATCTTCCACCATCTGAAAGTTTTGGACAAAATCAATGCTGAAAAAGCATATCGTCAAGAAAATGCTGTATGTTGTATTTTCTCAACTAGACCAGGCAGACCCTTTTCCAAAGAATGAAAAAGTCCCCTCATTCATTGTGCAAATTCTTATCCAAACTTTGACCCACAGCACATGTTAACTCTGTAGCAATTGTTGACCTGTAATTTTTCTTCTTTTACTGGGCACATAACTTGACTACGTTTCCCAGCCTCCCTTGCAGTTCACTAGGCCAAAGGAGTGCAGGTGAGTGATGTACCCCAATCACCTCCAAGCTGAGCCCATAAAAGTCTTGGTGCAATGCTCCCAGTTGTCTGTCTTCCCTCACATGCTGGCCAAATGCACAGCATCCAGCAGAGGACTCCAAAGCCTGATGGCAGAGCCACTAGAGGGAAAGAACCTGGTTCCTGCTTGGGGCAGAGTCCACACAACCCCACAACCTCTTCCCTCCTAATCTGCTCAGGACTGGGAAGGGTGTGAGCAGTGGGCCTTGGTGGCTGAGATATGGTAGTGGTAGTATTTGTTATAACAGTTAGCCTCCCCTGATTAACAAAATTTCCCAAACAAACGTGATATGGGTTCCTAATAGGAATGAATCACAGACAATACTCACTAATGGATAGATTACCTGAGTGGCAGTGTATGGCAAAGCTTGACTGACGGAACAAGATGTTTTATTTTACGTCACCATGGAAGCTTCCTTCAATTTCAGTGAGGAAAGTTGCAATACGTTTTAAGGCTTTCAAGTTTTGCAACTACAGCTTCAAACAAGACACTCAGACACGTCAACTTCAATTGTGATACGTGACTCTACTGGAAAGTGGCAAGTGAACCAGTGGTGGTCCCTTTCACGAGCCAGCATACTGATTCGTGGATCTATTTCAGGTCTGCTCAAATATAAACACTAGTTAATGTTACTGTAACACATCTTTGAGTTGCAGAAGGGTTAATAGTCTTTCCTGTATGTCTAGTTTATTAGCAAGAACGATTAAATAGCAGGGAGGACGAAAGTCCAAATCACGAAGGCATTTCCTTTCTTCAGAAAGAGCTTCTAGCCATGAAAGGTGGATTTATTTGCATTTGCACTCTTGTCCAAGAAATGAGGAGAATGACCAAGACATCACCTCTCTGGATGCATGAGTCCTTTGTGCTGCTCTGCCCAGTTGGGATGCTCCTAGTCGCTTTTTAATCCCTGGTCCCTTTACTTCTTGGATTGGGCCCTGGGGCATTCTCTGAGGAGGGCCCTTGACACTGGAAATTCCTCCTTTTGGTTGATCAAAGCTGGTGCCGCCTGACCCCACCCCAGGAAGTGGTGGCAGACACATCTGTTCAGTCTGGCTTCCTGCCAACAG